GAAGCATATCACAAACATGGGATAAACGAAACGGGATCGAACACGAAAAAATAGCCGGGCATAAATGAAATGAAATATGGTCATGAAATAATATGTGCGGTTCTCTCGGGGTTGTGAGACACACACACAAGCAAACACTCACAGGCTCCGATACGAAACCGGAGAGAAGGCGAACGAAGAGACGGCAGCACAGGTGAATTGCATGTTGATTAGCAATTCATAAATGTTTAAGAAATTAAAGCGCGCGATTTGCCCCACGGCGATACATTCTGTATACCACGATTTACAATCCACGGCACCAGAGCAGCGCAGCTCAGCGCAGAGCCCAGTGCATCTTTCTTCACTAGTCGCAATTTGTGCTGTTCGTCTCTGTTTTTGGTTTTTTTTTCCCTGTTGTTGTTGTTGTTATGCTCCGTACAACGGCAAATATTATACGAGTTATATTTATTCATTCGTAATCAAAGTAAAGGCAATGCACATACACACCAATTTCCATTTCTAGTTGGCATTTTCAGTTCAACTTTTATCTGATGCAGGCGTTTTATTTATACTATCGAAGCACCGTTCGAATTTGCATTTTCCATAACTTTTTCTTCTTCTTCGGCTGTTGTTGTCATCGTCATGCACACAAAAACACCATTGAAAACTGCATGGTCGTAAAGTGAAATGCCTTCAATTCGCTGGCGGGTGGATTTGTAAACGAGCTAAACGTTTATTGGTTATTAATTCGTATTTGCTGGAATTTAATTATAAGCGAAGAGATGTGTTAACCTGTTCATTTTCGATCGGTCCAATAATTTATTACACATTGGATCCACACCACAGCTTTATCTCTCGTTCGGGCCATTTTGACCAACCGAATAATTACAAAATGGTTAGAATGATGCGCGAGAGAGAAGGAGAGCATTCCAAGTCGGTCGAAATGTTTAGTGTTCGTGCAATTTTTTAGATAAAATTTCAGCTCAACAAGCATATTTTGTGTGTCGTTGTCACGGAAGGTAAAATTCTGTTTTTCAAACACTCATTCCCATAACTTATTCGAAACAAGGAGCTTCGATTTGAAATAATTGGCTATTCGGATGAAATATTTCATAATTTAAAATTGGACGAAATCGATTTTCATCGAGATTCTCTGTTGCATAACTACCACGTTTAAGCGGAGTGTTTGTTTATTTCATAAATGTTGTTAAGAATTCATCTTATTTCAATCGAGTGAAATACTTTCAAAATACTGCCCATCCTACGTATAAAATCCATCGTTTGGTCATTAATTATTTCGCTGCGAGAATTATTCATGGAATGTTCGACATCTATGACTGTGTCTCATCGTGATGATGACCGCACAAGATGCATGAGACGAATTTGTTTCGCTTGGATCAGATATCGGATCGTCAGTTCGTTTGTATTTCCAAATCGACCAATTGATCTATGAAAATGAAGTGTTCTTTCTTCGAACTAAGCACACACACGCACACACACATAGACTCGATCTATAAATTAAATGATGTGATAATTCGATTCCATTTAACACATTAATATGCTAATTCTGACGAGAGACGAAAAAAAATCTCAGAAAATTGATTTATCTCAACAGTTCGGAAGAAAGTAATAATTCATTGTTGAATCATGTGAAAATTGACCATCACCTCACCACAACCAATTCTAAACCCATTCAAATGAATTCAAACCGAATTCTTCGGATTTAAGAAAAAAGAAAAATAAATCATCACAACGAATTCCGATTCAATTGAATAAATAAATTTCCGTGTCAAACGACAATGTCATTGCGGCTCGCTCAATGGGTGAACACGACAAGCTAAAATGACAATGAATTCGATTCGTTGTTTATCTATAATCTCAATACTCAATGTATACTTAATAGAATCTATACGTTGTTGTGCTACTAAACGCACTTCGATTTCTATAGAAAAGACCATCCAGTGTGTCTACCACAGTTTGGTTGGGGCACATCTCCTGCCAGGTTTTAATGGCAAGTGACATCGAAATCGAGAATAATATTCATGTGTCATATGAATAAAATGACAACAACAACAAAAAAATGAATACAATGAAAAATGAATGTTTCGATAATAGCAGTGGAAGAGAGTGAAGCGGAGACACAGAAACACAACCGTCAATATGTAAATGGGCAACAGTGGCAGGCACCAAGTGTGAAAGGGAATATTGGAAACATGATACGGAAAGTTGTTGTTTTGCCTTTTTGTCTTGTCATCTTTAGCACATACAGTGAATGCGACTTTTGCTGCCGTACTACTACTGCTATCGCCGCGTCCATCAAATATTGAAATGACATTTAATTGAACACTTTTTTGTTCGTGCTTTAACACCATTTATTTTTTCTGTTGTATTTATTTTGGGTAGTTTTTCTTTTCGTTTACCTTGTTACTTATTTATAGTATTTATTCATTTATTATGAAGCCTACATTTATACCACGTTACGTATTTAATGATCATTGTTCATTATATCAATATAAGGGATATTTTTTGGAAAACGTTGATTTTGGATTGCTTTTTTTAGTCCCTTTTTTTCCATATTCAGTAGTTCTACATGGTGTCTTTCACTATGTTTGTCCACACATATAAAAAAACAAAATTTCTAATGGAAATTATTCCAAAAGTCATGAAATGTTATCATAATAGTTGCCCGTTTACTCTCAAATAGTCTTTATGCCGGTGATAAAAGTAAAATCGATGGCATCGCCATATATTTCAGCCATTTTGAGTAGAGAAATAAAGTTTAAGTAGACAAACTGCTTGACAATAGTGATTAATCTAAATGGCAAAAGCGTTTAAGTTCTATGTAAATAATTGCTCAATTCATATGCGCATAAATTTGCCCAACGAAGTGTTTTCGAATTCATTATTCGATGTGTGGCGATAAGAGAGAATTCTTTTCTTTTTTGTTTATTTCTTCTCACTCACTTCACATTGACACATTGAAATCAATTTTCGAACCCGCCGATTACCATGTGATGCCTGTGTCCAATACAAGCGCAAGTGTGTGCTTCCAATGTTTCGGTTCCATATCAATACATATCCATATGTATCTATTTTAAGACTGTTTTTTTTTTCATCGTAAAAGAACACACGTTTCGAGACGAATGTACACACCACTCTGCACGTATATTTGAATGAAAATAAATCGGCTGGCTGCTCTCGTTATCTCAAGTCGATCTAGATTTTTGATTACAACGCTCATTATATATTTATGATCATCACAGCCTATCAGCGCATTAGCTCAAGATCAACTGGCCCATACATGAATAGAGTTTCGGAGCGAGTGAAATCAAGTCCGTAATTTGTAAACACGTTGAACGATGAGGCGGTAGAATCGTAGGCTATCTGCTTACATTAGTCGCTTAATTTTCTTCATTTTATGCAAATGTCCCGAACCACAACAAATCGCTTTCCGAATGCAGGAGTCAAACTCGGCAATTCTTCAATTCAAAAAATGTCTTGCATAAATGTAATCGATCGAACTATATTTGTCGATGTCGAATAGCATTTGTGTGGCAATGTGACACCAAATCATCATACGCAAATGAGACGCTTTTATTATTATACTCAGCAGCCGAGATAAAATGTGACTACAATGCGATTCAATGACCGAGTGTGTCACCTATTTGGTGTCATTCACTTATTTAAATCGGCCGCCAATGCCATTAAGCGCACATCCAAAAATGGACACATTTTGCATGTGCATTAAAAGCGAAATCGTCGTCATTTCACAACCCATCTCGGATAACCTGACACACGAAATTTATTCGAATTTAGTTCTTTTTGCGGCGGCACGAATAAAAAGAGAAAAATTTTCACTTTCGATTGTTTTTACCTTTGCTTCGGCTTTGGCATCCTGTCCACTGGTTTTGCCGAATAAAAAGAAACTAATTTATTTATTACATTGCTAAACATCGCCAAATACTTTCTTTATCAAAATCCAAGCCATAATGTATACTTTATTTCAGTTTCTGTCGGTCACAAGCGGTGCGAACACATGTAAATTGTGTTTCTTTTTCTTAATCTGCAATGCACAGTTGTGTGTGCGCCAAAACGAGCCAAGAATTATGACAATGCACTTTTTGACAAATGAACTTACAGATTTCCACGTTATGTAACGTGAAATTGAATAGGCGAACAATAAATATAAATGCATGGAAAACAACTTTTTCTTACCAAACGCCGTCTTGTTGTTTCTTTTTTTCTCGATACGTGAGAGTGAAAAATCATAATCCGCTATTAATTTCAGCCGCGTGCAGTGATAACACGTGAATCGACAGCGTCTTCAGACAATCAACAATAAACAAGTGAGGAGAGGTAGACACAAAAAAGAAATGTATGCCAGAATAACATCATTATTTCATCGCAAATTTTATTTTTTCCGTTTTTCGTTGGTGTTCCTGCTATGTGCACACTTTTTTCCTGCGATATGACGTATACACTCTGTTTTGTGATTACTTCATTTATATTCTGTCATTTCATTTGTTGCTGGCGGTTTTTTTTTCTGCGTTATGTCGTTATTTATGAGCAACGAGACAAAAGTATCCAAGTGCGAAAAGCACATCGAACGTGTGTGCTTATGTAATGCCAGAAATACAAGAATATTTGTCACATGTATGCGGGTGACACACAGAGAGAGAGAGCGAGCGATGGATGAATTAAATTAAGTATCGGCCGAAGCGAAGGTGAAATCAAAACCGATTATGATGTTTTTTATAAATGAACTGCGCAAGTGATAATAAATTGTCTCCTGGTTAATCGACACACTTTTATCGAACTTAATCAAACAAACATTAACTGATTGCCTCAGACACATGATGTGTCACACATCCAACACGGTAATATTATTATGACGTAAGCTAGCTGCTAAAATCAATCACAGCCCGATGATAGCTTCATTTCACAATTTTACGTATTTGTACATACGTTGGGCTAATCACGAATCATTGAAATTCTGATGATAAGACAATGACAATGCATACTTCCAAAATCTTCAAGGCAATTTCAATTACTTTTATTATCGTTTCCAAATCACAATTTAAAAAATATATTTATCGCAATTCAAACTTCCTGTCAAAATTGATTTTCCTTGGAATATTTTGCTCTTGACATTGATAAAAAGATTTTATTCTTTGCACAAAAGAAATTTGAACATTTTATTGAACCTAAGCTTGTGTTTCAGAACTGTTTCTCTCTAGAATTTAATTTAGAATGTAAAAAGTAAGCCCATGAATACGATTAAAATGGGAAAAGAAGAAATGTGTCCTGAACTATTTTCGTAATCCTCAAAATTCGATAGATTTTTGGCAGAACGTTGTTGCAATTTAATTGGTTTGACTAGCTGAAAGCTTTGAAGGTAATTGCAGTCAGAAGTGTTGCACTTATAGCACTCTTTTTCATTGCATAGTCTTTGTGCTTCTGATCGCTTATCGCTCATACATCCACGATACATTTGTAAATCTGCGTGTTAAATGAAAAATAACAAAACAATGTTGACTTTGAAAGTAAAAGATAAAGCACCTTTTAATAAATTACCTTTTTTGTTTTCGTAGATAAAGCATTCGTCCAAAAAACGAGGGCAATGTTCACCCACTAAATCGGCAGATGGATTATTACAAGCAGCATCTCCGTTACATTTGAAGCACGTTTGTCGATCCTTCGGATAAATGCCCGAATTGCAAAGGTCTCCATAGCACAATTCATATCCTTTCGCGAATCGTGCGGTGTCTTCCTCTTCATTCAAGCTACACTGGCGATGAGTGTAGCCTTCTGCATCGATTCCCACAACACAAATGCTAGCATAGCCAATGCATGTGATTTCAACGTGATTCGGATTTGCCGTATGACAATTCACATCTGAATCTATTGTTCCGTTACAGTAGTAACATTTCTGATCGAAATCAACTTTTCGATTGCATTTCGGTGTGTTACAACTTTGGCATACACGCGATCCTCGCTCTAGACATTCGGACCGCTCTTTTTTATTCAAGCCCATCAAACAGCCGCGTTTAAGTGTATTTTCCTCTTTTTTCAAATAACAACCACTCGGTTTGCCCAATGAACAGGCTTTTTCCATGTTCACGTTTGGTGTTTTGCATTCCGGGTTGTTGCCACTGCAAACAATGCAAGTGTCCAAAATATGCTTTTTATTACAAAGCGCATCGTTGTTGCACAATTTAACGGTATCATGATGAAGTCCAGTTGATTCAGTGTTTGGAAATACAGCATCGCCGACACAACCTCTGACTACTTCACCATTGATGAGCGTTGTGTAACATTGCCCAATTTTACTATGACACCAGTTAAACTGTTCAATGTTGGTAACGTGAAAGCAACGGTTTCCATCTATTCTTGAATCGCACTCTACACACGTAAATCCATTCTCATCATAATCATCGTCCGTTTCTTGAATTGGTTCCAGTTCGGTTTTGTTGAATAGATGCAAAAAGTATGGATATGGTGCCAAATCGGAAAATTCATTACTTGCACCTTGATTAGTATGAAAGTCCACTTCAGTTAGATCGATGTCTTTCGTTTCAGGGTGAGGGTCAGTGTCAGTGTCAGTGTCAGCGTCAGCGTCAGCGTCAGCGTCAGCGTCCATTTCACCGGAACCATTGATACTAACAAATTCGTTTGACTCTTCAGTATCAATATTGTAGTCTTCTTCTTGCCCCCAAAAACCAAAAAATGGAACCTCCATATCACTATCAGCGGAATCGGAAAAAAGAGTCATCTTAGCTGCAAATTCAAAAATTTAGTAAAAACAATTATTTGGAGGAAAAAATTGATGAAATTTAACAGTGAAAAAACGAATTTCGTTTGTGTAAAAAAAAATTCACGCATATCAAACGTACCATTAAAAGCATTGAAATTGCTAATGAAAATAATCAAGACCACCAATTTTAACGACGGTGATTTCATATTTATGTCGAAATCTCTCTGCACCTTTGGAAAGTTAAAATAGAACTGTTGACGAAATTTAGCTGAAATATACTTTTCAACGCAAAAAAAGTGAAGTTTTGCCATTGAGATAATAATTATCAACAAGTGAATAAGATAGTCCAACCAGAGTATTCAATTATGATTAATCGGATCGATCGGATATCAGTTGGTAACAAATTTTGTTTGAATTTGGCCGGTAAATGTCGTGATTTTTGTGCTTTTTAGATTTAAAAGTACATTTACTCCGTTCAAACCAAATAGCCGACACGTGTGAAATTAAATTTTTGTTTACTCTTCTCCTTTTCTTTCCTCGAAATCCATTAAATTGGCAAAGTAATGGTGACTCACTGATAGAACTTTTTATTTACTCATTCAATGGCCGATTTCGTTGTTTCATCAACATTGTAAGAGTCTATTGAAATAAATGTCGATGAAAAAAGTATCTATGAATGCTGTCATCGCCACGAGCTTCGAAAAAACATCCAAATGACCTGTTGATTCGTTAGCTTGCGCGGCTATTAGATAAATGCTGAAGTGCGCCACATTCACGCGGTCCAATGCACACGTGAATATTTCCCAAGCGAAATTGTGTTGAAAAGGTCAACGTGTACACTTTTCACATCATTTCAAACGATATCACAATCAAATTAATTTGGTTCGCTTGTTGCATTCCACGAAAGCCAACTGCAAAGCAAAAGCGGACAATGCCGAAACGGCATACATATTGTTGTTGTTGCTTTTTTTCGGCTGTACGAATTTCCACTTTACACGGTCAACAATTGGTTGATTTGCGAATGAAGAATCGGCACGGTGTATTCCGTGGAATCATGATTGCCATAAGTTGTGTTTTCAAATAAACTTCATCCGTATCCACTGTCAACAATTTATAAAAAGCATAAAATGCAATAATAAATTGGATTTTGTTATTTTTGGTGGTGTTGCTCTTTCTCGATCCTCTCTTTTCGTCCCACACCAAATCGCGCTTACAATCAATAAATATAAATTATTCATTAATTATACACATCGTCGTCGTCGTCGTCGTCGTCGTCGTCGTCGTTCGTTCTTTCTTCCTTTCTTTTGGAGGGAAGAGCTTGGATGTTGGTTTACTTCGTGTTTTACATAACTTTTCTGTTGATTGTGGCGATCGCGTGAAATTCATTTCTGAAATGTGAAGCCTGTATCGTTGTTCGTTTGCTCTTCGATTCTTCCAGACGAGAGCAGTCCAGCCTGTCGAAATATAAACGGTTAAAAATTATGAAAATTACATGTGCCAGCACATCAACGATACCATAAAAAGATGCGAAATGCGAGAATCTTCTCGAATGCAGACAAAAAAAACACAACCAACTCATGTGATTGTCAAAATTTATGACCTTTAATTTTCGATATCACGATGGAGAGTACGAAAGAGAAAGACGCACAGAAAAAAAAAACGTGTGAAAAACCATTTGGCCAAAGCGTAGAATGATTCTTACAGAAGTGTGACACACAATGCGGCTGTCATTTTTGCAACTCGTTGCAACGTATTTTATCGCTTAATGTCACTTTAATATCTTTATTAAAGTATACTTTTTTTCTGCATGTTCGTTCGCCGTTCGCAACGCGCGTTCAATGAATATCAATTAAAATCCTCGAGCGATCTTATGATTTTATCAATATAATTTTTTATGCAAATTAATCGCTGCAACGCAGCGTCGTAAAGAGCAGCCTTGCATATCTTTTGCATAAAATCTGCCATCGGAATGGGATGGGACGGGACGGGTACGCAAAGAGAAAGAGATTGAGAGAAAGACTGAAGCGTCTGAAGAGTAATAAATTTCCCATTAAACAAGCAGTCATATTAAAGAGATGTGACGTGTGAAATCGAGACCGCCTTTTACACGTTTCTAATGAAATCTGAGCAACACATCTCCGATCTGCTGCAATGATGACGATGATGACGACGACGACGATGACGAAGAGAATAACTATCATTTTGCAGCACCTTGCAACGCAAACGCACATCATTTCAATGAGTTATTTTCATTGCAATTTTTCAAACGCATGCATGCGCGCGTGCGCTCATGCCATACCGAAAGCCTTTTCTATTTCTTTTCTTTTTGCAATGGGTTCTGGTCGCATTCGTGTGGCTGTCTCGTCGTGAACGATTAAATTTTCTCTCTTCACAATGATAAATCACCACCAGAGAGTTACGACCAAAACATTAGCATGTTATAAATATGCCACGTCTTGGCACAGAAAAAACAAGACCGCAGAGCTTCGCTTCGCTCCGCTCTGCGTTCTTGAGATTTCAGTTATTTATTCTACTTTGTTGCTTCACAACAAACTACTTTTTTTGCGCACTACATGAAATGTATTTCATCTAAGTAATTTTGCAGTAATATATCATTAAAAGGCGTCCCTTTTAATAATATTATGGATTAAAAACATAATACGAAGGATATATATTTGCAACAAAGTTGATACAGAAAAAAGATTTTCTCAGTTATCTCAAAAATGAATTGCAAGATCTTGGTTTGATTTCTTTTTTGAAAGATACTACCACTGTTTTAAATTAAATAAATAATATGACCATAGAATCCAAATTAACTTTCATTATGCTCAAGACTCGGAGAATACTATACAAAAGAAGGAAAAAGTAATGTAAATTTTAAACAACATTTGATAATAAAAATTTGATTAGCGTTTCGAGATACTATGCACTTGTTTGTCGTTACTGCCACTAGTTTGAATTGAATACAAAATATGAGCATAAAATTGAAAACCACTCTAATTCTGTTCATGGCTCGAAAAAGTATTAGAAAAAAAAACGCAGATTAGTAGCTCTACATTTCATGTAGTGCTAAAAACAAGACACACAGGTGAAATTGAATTACACATCCACATATTGCCTCAAGAGAGAGAGAGAGAGAGAGAGAGAGCAAGTCGGAAAAAGAGAGAAAAAGAGCGTATTCAACCTGAGGATGATTTTCATACATTAATATTTACATACGTCAAACAAGCTAACGCGGATCAAGACAAACGGATCCAAAAACCATCATCATTCCACGGCGAAGAACGAAATCAAAACACGACAAGAAGAGATGCGAGAGTGAGCAAGAGAGATAGAGAGAGATCGAGGGAAAAATGGCCAAATGAATTTGTTGTAGTAAAACAAATGAAGCACACCAATAGAGCCAACGTTGAGCAGAGGAAATGAAGAGAAAACGGAGAAAACTCACTGCAAAGAGTATGTAATAAATTATCTAGGGAAAAAAATGCACAAGGTAAAGAGCATGGAAATTAACTAACATACAAATGCTGTACATGGCTTCGAATGTGGAAACAACTTTTAATCACGAGCATATTATAAATTGGACCGATCGAGCAAGTGTTTTTCTGCCGGACTGAGAGAGAGAGAAATAGTCGTATTCACGCTTTTGTGCATACATTATGGTCATTGTTGTTGTTGTTATGTGTCCGAAACCACGAGGATAAGGTTATGATTTGTGCGAGACAGTTAATCGAAATGAAAATGCGAGCTGAAGTTGTGAACTGAGAGAAATATGATCGGCCCAACTCTTGTTCGATGTGAGAATAAAACACAACTGAGATGGTATGTGACACGATACGCCGATGGCAATTTATATTTGCTCTAAAATAACTTTTCTTCCGTCGTCGTCGTCATGTTTTTTCTCCTAGCCTCTCTTCATTGTTTGGCCGAGGCCGCGGTAGAGTGAGACCGCCACATTGTTTTTTTCTCCCGTCTGTCGATCCAAATATCGAGGCTAATTCTATTTCATTCGGCAAGTACAAATCGCCGTCCATTTGTTCAACTTGATTGTTTTTTTTTTCTTCAGGTTTTTCCTTGAATTTGTTAGGCAGCCTGTGTGCAGTTTCGAATGTTTGGCATTATTAAACGGTTAATAATATTTCGTTGTCCGTGCTCGGCACTTTTTCTTGGCTCTCTTCGTGTGTGTGTGTGTGTGTGTGTGTGTGTGTGTGTGTGTGTGTGCACGTTGTTTGGTTTCAAAGCAATAAACATATAAACAAAGTCACGCACGATACGGTTCTCCAATAACATTGAACGAAGATATTTGAGCGAAATTATGTACACTTTTACGGTTTCGTGCTTTCATTTAAAGCTGACCAATTCTGTGGTGTGTTTGTTTCATTTTGGATACGACGAATGATCGGTGATACTCTTATTCCGTTTGATTGCAACACACACACACATGTACTCGGCTCGGCTTCGCCCGCAGCACTTCCATTTGCATTTTTATTCGGTTTAAAGGCGAAAATCTAATTATTGAGAGGCGAAATTTCGTGAGACTTGCTTTTTCCTCCGCGGATTCAACCGGGTATTGTTCCGCATTTTTAATGTAATTACCTAATGAATAAGATTAATAACAATTCGGTTGCAGTAAATCACATCATTTTCTTGTGCCAATTTAAAAGGAAACCAAATTCATAAATTTCTCACATGATTGAATACACTTTTCAGTTTCAATAATGTGTGGTGTTCGTTATTGGCCGACCATTCTCTCTCTCTCTCTCTCTCTCTCTCTCTCTCTCTCTTTTTCGGTCTCTCGAAGCAAGTAAGCAAAAGAGTTAAAAGGCAAAAAATGACGCAGCCAACAAGTGCTCATACCGCACAATTTATGTGCATCGGCAACAAGGGATAAGAAGAAGACGGAAAAAAACAATTACGTTGGAAAACAATGCGATTTCTTGTTTCTCCTCCGCGCGCACACTCCCTTGGAGAGAGAGACCAACGTATAAAAACCAATCAATTTGGTTTCGTTCGGTACTTGTTATCAACACGATGCAGAAGAATAAAAACCGACGGCTGGAGTGAGTGAGCGAGAGAGGGGAGAAACCCGGCAGAAAATAATTGAAATCAGAATCATTTCGAGTTGTGGAATGCTAGATGCATTGAATGCCGTACGACAAGCCAAAGCGATTGTGTGGTACAATATTTCGATTATTTTAAGTGAATAATATGTAACAGGGATTGCGCACTTATTCTATACTTTTATTTTGGACAAAGTCATCGTTATATTAT